CGGATACATAAATTTATGGTACTTTTTCATATGTATTCATCAGCTCAACGTGCGACAAAAAGTATGTTAACACAACCTAATCTAAGTGTACGTGCACATATCTCGGTATGCGTGTCCATATCTGGTGTTCATCATCATCCCAGATGTTAAACAACTCTTACACATTGTATATAATAGTACAAGATTGAGAAACTCTCTCAAAAATAACAAACAAGAGCGAAACTCAAGATACCTTTACGTGATATATCAATTTATTTCAAATCAGCACATCTGCAGTTTTCTGCAGAACATATCATTAGTAAATTTAGCATATCTTTCTCTGGACAAACTCTTTTTAAGAATAGTTTTTCTTTTTGGAAACTAGACTCACATAGTTATCACTTGACACTGATTTGGTTCAGTTTGGAGTTCATATGATATTTCTAATTTCCAGTCAAACATTTTATATGTGCAGCAGATTTTCTGCAGAATATATCATCAGTAAATTGAGCATATCTTTCTCTAGAAGAACTATCTTTAGGTATGGTTTTCTGTTTTGAAAACTAGATTCATATATCTTTCAATTGGCATTAGTTTGGTTCAAATTGGATTTCATTTGTTATTTAAAATTTCTAGTTCAATAGTATATATGTGCAGCAGATTTTCAACAGAACATAACAAGCATGATTATTTGCACAAGAAATCATATGTAAACCTTCAATCATGCACGAAACTTTAAAACGAAGCATAAGACATCTAAATTCAGATAAATAATATTTTAAATTATTTTCAGATCTTAAAACACTTCTGTAAATTCGTGCTTACTCTCTTTAACATGAAAAGACCTAGTCTTTATACATATATTACTGGTAGAAAACGACTTATTCCAGACGAAAAATTCCGTCTGGAATAACTTGAATTCCGTCTAGAAAATGTATTCCAGACGGAATTCCGTCTGGAATACGGGTCTAGTTTATTTCCGTCTAGAATAAGTTATTCTAGACGGAAATTCCGTCTGTAATGTAATACAGACGGAATTTTTTAGACGGAAAAAAAAAACCATCCGTAATACTTAAGCGACGGAATTTTTCCGTCTGTATTAAGTAATGCAGACCGAATTTTCCAGACGGAAAATTCCGTCTGCCTTAATCAACATCCCAGACGGAAATTTCCGTCTGGGTTATTTAACCCAGACGGAAATATCCGTCTGGGATATTAGACAACCCAGACGGAAAATTCCGTCTAGGTTAAGTATCCCAGACGGAATTTAATTCTGTCTGGGATACTTAACCCAGACGGAATTTTCTGTCTGGGTTGTCCAATATCAACTCAGACGTTTTTATATCCCAGGCGGATATTTCCGTCTGGAATATAAAAAATCCGTCTGGGATACCTGTAGATCATTCTGGAATGCACACAAATTTCACACAAATTGGCTGTAAATCACACAAATTTCACACAAATACATGTATAATCCAGTTTACACATTTCATAATAAAAATCACATATTTCATAATAAAAATCACACAAATTTCACAATAAAAATCACATATACAATCAACAATAAAAATCACATATATAATCAACAATAAAAATCACAACAAAGTCACACATAAAAATTACATATACATATCATCTCTCCCATCTCTCTCGTCTGCCAACTTATAATCATCCACATATGCATATAAATTTGTAAACTGACTCAATCAACTCACTGTTTGTTTTTGGGCTCAACACAAACCGATATCCTCTTCAAGTCACACAGTGATTATTTTTTACACAAGTCAATATTATTTAAATATGAAACATTCAAGTCCACGAGATTTTTTCCTCTAGATCCACAACAATAATCTCCTTGCTTAAAGTATTGCCAAGTTCTACAGATCACAGGCGAGTAACGTGAGCCATTGGATAATAGAAAGAACAAAATATGCAAACTTATTATGTTATGAAACTTCACAACAAATGCGTAGTAAAATATTAAGTGTGCTTCTACTAAATACTTCGAGTTGTAGTGAGAAATGATAAATTTGGAGTTTGTCTTTGTTATTTACTCTAATTTGATAATCTTTTTTTATTTCCCCCTTCATACATTAACTCTAATTTAACGAATCAGCAAATTATTAGAGAATGAGGTCATTTCAGTTTTGTCTCATCAAAAATATTATCAGATGTTTCATTCGAATGAAAAAAGATTGTGATAGTAGTAAACTAATATCCGAATGAAATGACCGCAAATATGCATTACCTTCTATTTATTATGTTCAAGAAAAAATGGCCTAATCATGCAGATGTTTAAAAATTTTGGAGAGCGCTTTTTCGCAGCGTTATCAATCCAAACATATATTCTTGCGGTGCCATATTACAAGGATCATTTATTAGAAAGCAAAAACCGTTTGGAACCGAAAATTTGAAAAGGACCTGAAGGGTATTTCGAGGATTAGAAGAGAATGCGCTTCTATTACTGATTTCAGATTTGGCGAAGCATGAGGAATGAATGATTGTAACATAATGTCAACTGTTCGGGATTCATTCGGTCAACAAAGAGAAATTTTGAATGACAACCTTGAACTGTAACCCAATCACCTGACTTTATATAATGAGATATCGACAAGTTAAGCATACAAGTACAACTTCCTAAGTAACTAACAGAATCAGCATATTGATTTGAGACAAGATGGTAAGCTAAAAAATCAAACAGCATAAATAAACAATGATGTTCCAGATTGTGCAAGATTTTACGCTAGTCGGCTGTGAGTTTTACCAAAGATCGATATACGGGTATTCAGATTATAAACCTAAACAGCCTGAAAAAAAGAAACTGTGATAGATAACTGATGTGTGCCTTAGTTATGATGCTTATGGGATGTCTGTGCTGTCTTATATCAATAGCTTTACCTCCAAAAAAAAAAAAACACATTAACCTAGCTTCAATTAAGCAGGTCAAATTGAAGCTAGAGGTGACTGACCAATAATCAAGTACATGACTTCATTTCCATACAAATAATGAAGTGCCGAGTAATGTATCAGTAATTACTTCCTCTGTCTTGTCTTTGTGACTTACATTAAATATTTTAAGAACTTGTTAAAAAATTAAATTTAAAATTTGTTTTTCATCACGTGATCCCTTCAAGTATGTAGGAATATTCTTTAGAACTATGTTAGTAATTGAATGTCCATCAGGTTAGTATTATTACAAATTGAATTAATTCCTTTGCATCAAAATTTAAAACTAAAATTATGATTCAATATTCATGATATGTTATACTATGACATGTTGTAGTAATTCTTATAAGCAGTGAAATCTTTGAAGGTATCCTCAGTATCTATATATAATATATTATGTACTTATATAAATATATAGTTATTTATATTATATTATAGTTATTAATATTATATTAATATATTAGTATATTAAATTATTATATATATGTTCAATTCCAACTAAGATAATGTATGTTCTAATGCCACTTTAATGTGAGTCATTCATGTGAGCCTTTTGTTGTGAGTGAACGTAATATACAATGATTCTTGTGCATTACATACAATAACAACATTATACTATTAATTAACTGGTACTATAAATCAAGGTATCTGTATGGTTCACTCTCTGCCGCAATATTGTGTCAGCCACGAGCAACCTGCAAATTATAGATTAACATTAGGAACATATTTACATTATGAATAGTTATATAAGTTTACCTGTACCCGGATCTATAATCTATTTGGATCCATCATTCTCAATTAAATTCAGCTAGAATTTCCGGAAAGCATAAGAGTGTGTCTAAAAACATGCGCTGTAAGAGGGATCGGAGGCAATCTGAACAATGCTTCGTCATCTGCAAGAGTAAAGTAGCGCCGATCTTACGCGCAGATAACGTTGAAGGGCGGATAAGCTTAAAGTTCGAAATGTGTATCTGTTTATATGATAGTTCGATCGCGAGCAGTATGATCTAAGAGGATGCGGGAGAGATGATTTTCGTACGAGGTACCGTGAACTAACCCTATCAGATGGTTCTAACACAGGTTTTTACACATACTTCATTGATACGATGCGGTTATTATACATCATTTCATTAGACAAATAAATTACTTTTCCTTTTGACAAAACATGAGGTCGGATCAGAGCTATTGAGGTGAGTAGTGACGCATCTTCGACGACAAGACCGCAAATATTATCCTAAATTAATACGAAATTAGGGATTATATTGAAATTGGAAATAATGATTTCTAGTTACAAAGAAGTTAAAATTCCTAATTATGAAATGAATACAACAAAGATATATATATTATTTATATTTTGTGAATATATTACCACCAAACATGTTTATTTTATCTTCTTTCTCTTTATATGTGAGTGAAAGGTGCGTAGTAACTTGCTTCAATTCGAGCGCATTATCGCTTCCCTACAAATATAATAAGAATGTCGAGAGTTTGCAAACATTGAAGGTGAGCATCGATGAATAATCAATTTAATTATACCGATTCTGACATATCTTTATCAGGTTGCAAAGCTCGATCCCAGTGGTGTCAAGCTTAGCGTTCTATGTCGGTTGACGTCGACATATTTAGATTATCTATCATAATTCGCCCTGTCTGTTAAAAATATTTCATTACAATATGTCATGTACGCACCTTTATTCTCGTCTTCAGCTCAGATCCAAAAAAAAAGTAGCCGGTAAATATGAATCGAATCCCAACCCCCCCTTTTGAGATTAAAATCTTCAGTCTTGAGTAATTTTATATTTGATATCTCAGCTCATGTCCATTAAATAATGCAGACGCGCATCATATTATTACGCAATGCAACCGGGAGCAATTGATGTAGAAGCACGTGATAATCATGGGTCTTTAGGCCTAAGAGCTTCCTCTCCTGCACCTGGACCTTATTTGATATATTAGCTGAATACCCATCCGGTGATTTTACTGATTTCAGGACCTCACAAAATCTCTACATCTGCTCTGTCGACATCGTAACACGAGAGGAAGGCTTATGTTTTTTTAAGTCCAACATCTTGTGCTTACAAATCTTCTCGGATATTCAATGCAGCTAAGTCTTGACGAGCCCTTAGGTCATCCTTTGACTTATTAGGATCTTGAAGGAGGGTTGAAACTATGTTGTCACAAATATTTTTCTCAATATGCATTACATCCAAGTTATGCCTGATTTTAAGCTTTTGCCAGTATGGCAGCTGGAAGAATATACTAAATTTACTCCATCCCTTTGGTAATTTATCGACTCCATTATCTACATGTGCCCGTTGGAATGCTCTCTTCCTCTTCAGTATCTTCTTCTTGTTGCAGGAGCCTCTAGCTTTGAGTGAGTCATACTTAGAATATCGGTTCTTACCAAATCTAATTTTAGGAAGATGCTCAAGGAACTTTGCAATATCAGCACCGGTCATTTGACGTGGTTTATTCTTAGTCTCAACAATGCCATCAAACTTATTGCTCAATTTTCTGTATTTGTGCCCCGAGGGCAACCATCTCCTGTTGAACCAATAACAACACTTTCGACTATATGGTAAGTGAAGGCCTTCAAATTCTGGGCCACATACTGGACAAGCAAACTTGCCTTTTGTCGACCAACCAGAAAGATTAGCATAAGCTGGAAAATCATTAATTGTCCACATTAGGATAGCACGAAGTCTAAATGACTCTTTAGCATGGGCATCATATATCAACATACCCTCTGACCATAACTGTTTTAGCTCATCAATTAAGGGCTCTAAGTAGACATCAATATCATTACCCGGTGCATGCTTACCCGGTATCAGTAATGAGAGTATCATATACGGTTGTTTCATACAAAGCAGCGGGGGTAAATTATATGGCATTAAGACAATTGGCCATGTAGAACAACCTGAACTCATAACCCCGAACGGATTGAATCCGTCGCTAGAAAGCCCAAGTCTGACATTTCTGCATTCACGAGCGAAATTAGGAAAAGTCTTATCAATATGCTTCCAAGCCTCTGCATCAGCTGGATGTCTCGGCTTACCATCTTCTATACGACCTTCTTTGTGCCACCACATGTTCTTAGCGGTGCCTTTGTTCATATACAGACATTGAAATCTAGAAACTAACGGGAAATGGCGAAGCACCTTAGCTGGAATCATGCTCTGCTGGGACATTGACTCTGTTGGCTGCCTTGTTGAAGAGCGAGTTTGTTGTTTCCATCGAGAAACTCCACATGTTGGACATTCCTGAAGGTCTTTATTATCCTTGTAGTAGATAATACAATCATTGGGACACGCATCAATCTTATTGTAATCAAGCCCCAAATCGGAAACTATTTGCTTTGCCGCATAAGTTGTTTTAGGAATGCTACGCTCTCCTCCTGGAACTACCTTCCGTAGTAAATCAAGAAGCATTTCGAAATAAGTATTTGCCATTCCACTGAGGCTCTTAATATGTAAGAGCTCCAACATAAATGAAAATCTAGAGAACTCGGTGCAACCCTCATACAAATCCTTTTCACTATCTTCTAGTAGTTTCATTATACGATCCAAGTCCTCAGGAGCATGAGCGTCTTGGACATCAACTATGATATCATCTTCATTGTTATTGTTAATCATTTCTGCATAACGTATGAAGGCTTCACATCCCTCCTTGTATCGCGTGTCACGAAATCTATGAAGCCGTGGGATATCTATCCATGATTTGTCAGGAATTACCCTCATCTGTAAATTATATATAATTATTAACTACGACAAATCACACAACTACTAGTACATTCATGACTCTTATACATACAAAACAAATCTAACATACGTTCATATATCATTTAACAATATAAATTTAGTTCTACATAAAATATATTTGAAACGTACGTAGAAACTAATTACACCAATTGATCGGCTGTCATAGGAAGGCTTCTATCCATTAAGAATATAATAGTGCTTACATCCAACTTCATATACTTTGTATGATTTTATTTCTTAAAAATTTCGGCAGCACCTACCCGCTGTTCTCCCTGTACACTGTGCGGATGTTATTATGCGTACTGACAACATATCAAAACGCAAAACAACATACGCTTATTGTACACGGAGAACAACAGGTATGGGCTGCCAAAATTTTTAAGAAATGAAATCATACAAAGTATACAAAGTTGGATGTATGCACTATTATATTCCTAACCCGTCCGAGAAGGACAGATCCAATAATTACAAATTTTTATACCAATTCATTTCTATTATAATATAAAGTGAACGATCAATTTCGAGTAGGAAAATATACCTCTTACCCAAATTTGACTCGTTCATCTAATATTATAACCTCAAAGAATTGGCTGTAATTATTGGACGGGAGTCTAGGGTTAACGTTATATTTTTTTACCTAAATTGGATATATAAACATTATTATATAATATTGCGTTATATATCACTCTATTTTTTGAAAACTTTTTCTTCCATAACTCACACATTTACAAATCACAAACCTATATAATCACATTTGTACAATTCAAATCACAAACTGTTTGATAAACATGAGATCCTTGTGGGCTTAACTAGCAAAACAAGATAACAGAAATAGAAGTTGCCAATGAAGGAAAGGCTACAAACATCATTATAGACTCATAATAATCAAACACGAGCATTCAACTGTACAATAATGACATTCTCTTAATTAAGTCTATAAGTTTCTAAGTAGAAAAATCATTGCTCTCCGAAGTGGGATCCTCTCCACCACCCAACGTGTTTTTTGAAGAAATATTTCAATCTTCATAACAATCACCAATTGTTTAGCAGACTGTTAAGATTTGTCTTGAACAGTAAAAAAAAATGTTTCAAATTAAGTTAACATCACTGTGCCGGAGTTTTTCTAGGGCTTGAGAAAACTTGGGTTCTCAAGTTTGAACATTGATTAATCAATTTGATGGTGAGGCGTCGATGGGGGTTACAAAGTTTTGAGCAAAAACCCCCTCAGCGGCTTCATGTATACAATAAAAAAAGAGGCCTCTCTAGGATCAAGAGGATAGCTCTGATACCATTTAAAAAAATAGAAAAAGCCAAGATATTATTCATCTTACCTTAACCTCTCTTAAATAGAGGTTGGACATTACAATATAGATATGAGATAAAATCATATCCAATTATATCTCCCACTATGTCAACAATATCTCCATAATATATACCTTAACAAAAAGCATTTACCTAAATTCATCAAATGTGGTCATATAATGCAAATTGGATTCATCTCTATTGTTTTTCACTCGACGAACCTAAATTCATCAGATGTTGTCATATAGCATCCAAATTGAGTTCATCTCTATTGTTTTTCACTCGACAAAGTCATATATGGTCCTTCAATGACATCGTAAATATTTTATGTTAAAATCACCATATGAATACAAATCTAAAGCCTTAACAAAAGAGGAAGTGCCACTATTCCATTGATCCAAACAGAATCAAGTAAACTTTTGATCCAAACAGAATCAAGTAAACTTTCACCGGGTCGTCTTCAACAAACGATCAGCCGTTAACTTTCACCTCATTTTCTCAAATCACATGTTACTTACTCGTTTTACAATGACCTTTTTCTTTAAAAATCATAAGCTAAACTTGCAAGAAGGACCAACTAATTCATGTACAAATTGTTAGTGACGAAAAAAAAACTGTACTAGAAAAATTTCTCCAATACAATACAAATAAGAGGATAATGGATAGGTGAGCATAATTTTCACATATGGAATCTTGCTGAATAGGTTTGAGAAAACTAGGGTTTGAGAAAACAAACCTCACCGTGCCGGAGTTTTCCGACAGAGGGGGACGACGGGACGGCGAGGAAGAAGGCGACGATGGGACGGCGACGGCTTCGACGGCTACGACGGCTTCGACGACGACAGAGAGGGATTCTCCTAAGAGATCCGAAAGGCGACGGCTTCGACGGCGACGACGGCGACGACGAGGCTGTTGAATGAGATCTGAGGACTCTGGCGACGACGGACCAGATGATCGCGATCGAGAGAGAGAAAGGCGAGCGAAAGGCGATCGAGAGAGAGATTTGGGGATTTAGGGCTCGAGCTGCGGGTTTTATGAAATATAAACTGAACCTATAGCTTCTTGACGGAAATTTCCGTCTGCAATACTATTACAGACGGAAATTTCCGTCTAGGATAATCGGTAAATTTCAAAAAAAATTTAAAAAAAAATATCCGTCTGCAATACTATTACAGACGGAAATTTCCGTCTAGAAAATAATATTCTAGACGGAATTTCCTCGACAGAAAATTTCCGTCTAGAATAATGTATTCTAGACGGAAAATAATTCGTGCTTAATCTCTTTAACATGAAAAGACCTAGTCTTTATACATATATACAAAAGATCCAATTTTTATACACAAATTAATTGATTAGGCTCTATAAAACTCATTAAAAACTCTTCAAAAATATTTTAAAAACTTGGAGGGGGATTAGTAGAGATGATACTCGCCTGGGGTTGTAGGAAAACTTGTTAGAAGCAACGTCGAAGGAGATCTCCACTCCAAAATCCAAAAAAATCAACAAAAACCCAACTTGAAAGCCTCCAAACTTCTCCAAGAATTCAAAATAGGTTTTATGGGGGTTTGGTGGCTGTTAGGGTTCTTAGATATGATAAAAAAAAGGAATTTTCGTGATAAATACAGGTATTTATAGAGGTAAACCCGAAACAAACCTGTTAGACCCGAACCAGGAAACCTAGTCTGACTAGGAAAATACCCCTTTGGTATTTTGGCTGTAACTTTCTCATACGACCTCGGAATGAGGTGATCTAAGACTTGTTGGAAAGCTACTGAAGAGACCTACAACTGTGATCTTTTACACTTTTTTAAATTCTAACTAAATCGGTGTGCAAAACATAAAAACTCATAACTGGTCATTATTCCCAGATTTTCACTCTTTTGTCCTTTGTGCATGTTTTGTGCATTTGCACTCATATTTTCACAAATATACATTAAATTGATCTCAAATCAATTCTTATCATATCCAAATATCAAAATATATTATTTTTCACCATATAACATATTTATCATAAAATATTCAAATTTACGGGGTGTTACAGCTACTATGGTATTTCTCTACAATCTCCACTCGGTAGGCCTCAGATTTGAGATAACTAATATGAACTTGCATTGCCTAGACTTCAGTGAGAGATAACTCTCGCTATCTCTCAGCCTCCAATGCCACTCGGACCGCCTCCTTTAGATTCTCGTGGGCTTCCACCTCCTCCTTCAGCTGATCCCGGTGGCTCTCGACATGTTGGTGAGATAGCCGAGCCCACTCGAAGCGACCCTACTCTCTTGCCTTTCGACCGTGATCTCATCCTTTAAGTACTTTACCCAGTCATCTCATTCATGGAGCTCATGCTCAAGATGATTGATCTCCTCGTTGAGTTTTTCGATCATGGCTAACTTTTTGTATGTGTGCACCTTGAGTCCCTTGAGCATCTCCTCTCGAATCTCCACCTTTCGACACCACTTGTCGTCGCTTCGCCTCTAGGCCGCCAATTTGGCTTCCTTGGTAGCAACCTTTTTCTCAGCCTCTTCCCGAGCTGCACTCTCAGCCTCCAACACCTAATGAAATTGGAAATGGAGACCTCACACGTGCTTGAGTTAGGAGAACAACTCCTGCTCGATTAGATCCCCCTGCAGCAGATAGCTTTTGAGGGCCTATGAAAGCCGATGTCAAGCATACCCAAGAGGATTTGATTGTCACAGGGAGATAGAACTGGTCCATAACCCAAGACTTGGTGATCAATGACTCCAAGACTGACCTTTTTTGTCGAGATGCCATCTAAGAGTAAATATGAACTCCTTAGATGACTCCTTGTCATACCGAGGGCCTTCCCTAAATGACGCCATCATCATCATCCTCAACTCCCCCTATACGTTTGGCTTGAGTTTATTGATATGATGGGGGAAGGGCTATCCAATATGACCCTGAGGAGCTTTAGGTGCCTCGGCCACTGCTGACTCCTATGTCGGCTCCTTGCCCTATCGATGGTCCGACTTAATTAGAGAAGGTCGGTCCATCTCCTCCTCGACCCGAGCCTCAGCCTCAACAGCCTATTTCTCCCTCTCAAGCCGAGCGAGAGACTCATTATCAAGGACCATGATGACCTCAGTTGGCTTGGTTGGAGGGACTTCTAGAGCAGGAGCAGGGAGATGTTAACCAACTTTTAGGATGGGGGACAGGAGTGATCACCTCTGCAACGCCCCCTTCCCAGCCCGAGTTGGGTCAATACTCCCAAAAGGACCTCTAGCTATTTACTCTTCATAGCCATCTCCTATTCTTCTCAGGCCTCTAGGCATGAGCAGTAGTAGCGCTCGGCCCAACTAGTAGAGTCGCGATCTCGATAGCATTTGCTACCACCTCCTTAGCCTCCGCAGGGGCTAACTTGGACCTTAGATGATTCTGGGTCTAAATAAAGACTTGTGTTGAGCCTCGTCCAACTCCTTTAGCAACAGAGCAAGAACTGCCACTCGGATCTTGTCCTCTTCAGTCAGCTGGACTCTGGAGATATTGATCGCTCGCAGAGCTGTCGGATCAAATAGATTCTTGATCCTTCGAGACCTAGAATAGGGCCAAATCTT